TCTAGGCGGGGCAGTCCATCAATAGTTACAGTCCATCATTAGCTTGTTAATATTAATGGTAAAAAGAAAGGCAGGAAAAGAATGCGATTTAATAGATAATATTTTGGTTGTTTGTTTGTTTCTCTCTCGTCCTTTCCCCCTACTACTACTACTGACATTTTCATTTAGCTTGGAGATGATTTTGCGAACCTCAATGAAAGAGTCTTCATCTTCGAGTACACTTAAGTAGTTTGTTTTTTAATTCTGAGTTTGAAGGATTTCTTTTGTAGCCCTCTCAGAGAATTAGGGTCATCCTCGGTGTAAAAAACTGACGAGGTTTTCTTTGTTTCATGAGGTGTTTTGCTGTACGCTGTTGTTTATAATGTTTTATTGTTTTTGTTTTACGTCACTCGTGAGCTTCACAGGTTTTTGCACCGATGAGCCGAGAATTAGGTATCTCATTCCGTGGTTTAGCACCAATCCGTGAAAAGGCGATTTTTTGTATTTCAAGTCTTGAAGCTTTTATGTAAAAATTATCTGAAGTAGATGAGCGTGTGTTATAAGAATGGATACTAGACGTTTTCGTAAATAAATTACGTATATTAATTGGGGCAGAAGCAGTCCTAACGTCGTTCCTCAACTCAGACAAAGTTTTGTAGTACAAAAAGTTCAGAGCCAAAATCTTAGCATTAATAAACAGTGGAATGGTATGTTCATTTTTGTTTGCGAAGTACATGAAACGTAATGCACGTTTTTGTAACATTAAGATATTATTTAGGTAAGACTTACAGGCCTGGCCCAAGACAGATAATCCGTAAGTAATATAAGAAGAGATTAAAGACTGATAGATATTTAATAGGGTGTGGAGAGGTACAAAATGTCTTAATTTTGCGAAAAGACCTACCGTTTTACTAAAACATGGATCTTCCAAGAAAGATTAGAGTCAATTAACATTCCTAGATACTTAACGTAATCTTTGCAGTCTATGGGAACGTTCATATTCTTCTCATTGTCATATATGCATTTTTTAGGTTGAAAGGATAGTCTTTTTTGATATCGACGAAATATGACGAAATTTCATTTTTTTATGTTAAGGTTTAATTTGTTTGATGTTAGCCAAACATACATTTTATGTAGCTCCGTATTCACTGTTTGTTCTAATAATTTAAGGTTTCTGTCCGCATATGAAATATTAGTGTCATCAGCAAAAAGATAGAAATTAAGCTGTTTGGAACAGGTACAAATATCATTGATATACAATAAAAACAATAATGGGCCTAATACGGAGCCTTGTGGAACACCACAAGTCATTAAGGTTTTTTTAGAGATATGTGAACCAACTAGTGTTGTTTGTGTCCGGTCTTGCAAGTAAGATAAGAACCAATTGTTTATTATTCCGCGAAAACCATAATAGTTAAGTTTATCAAGTAAAACGGCATGATCTACTGTATCGAAAGCTTTCTTTACTGAAGTCTATAAAAACACCACAAGAAAATAAACGTTTATCCATATTGCTCTGAATGGTATTGACTATGTCAATTATTGCATGTTGGGTTGAATGCTCATCACGAATCCGTATTGAGAGCGATAAAGTATGTCTTCTTCATTTACAAAAACTCATTCTTTTGTACATCAATTTTTCAAAAAATTCTGTTAAAATTAGACAGCAAAGATATTGGCCTGTAATTGTTTGGTTCAGTCTCATCATCTGCCCTAAATATGGGTATGATTTTTGACATCTTAAGTTTAGCTGGATATGTTCCAAGTGATATAGACAGATTAAAGATTTCTGCTAAAACACGACTTAGAACGTCACTTGCACACTTTAATATCCGAGTAGGGCAGGAGTAGAGGTCGTCTGACTTATTGTTGGGAATAGATAATATTTCCAGGCGAATTTTAACCGGAGTGATAGGTTGAAAAAAGAAGGATGAGACGGGTGATTTACATTTCCCTAAGAAAACAGTAAAACATTTTGGAGTTGGAGGTAATTGATTTGCTAATTTTTGTCCCGCTGTTGCGAAATGCTCTTTGAGAATATTAGGTATGCGAATCGGGTTACGGGAGACCTCTTTATTGTTTTTGAAGTCCTTGAGTGCCCTAATTGATTTATTTTTCTTGGTTTTACGATTCAATGTATTGTTTATTCCTATCCAAGTTTTTTTCATATTATTTATGTTGGCCTGGAAATATTCACAGAAATATTGCTTTTTACTAATTCGTGTTAGACTGCAGATTTTATTTCTATAAAATTTATATTTAGTGTCATTACCAGATAAGTATAGCTTGTTTTTAATCTTAATTGAAGTTTTTATTCCTTTAGTTATCCAAGGTTTAGAACATTGTTTCGCCTTGCGGCGTACCAGTTTCCTCATAGGTGCATGTTTATTTACAATTTTGTTGAACTCGCTGTAAAAAGAGGAAAACATCTCAGTTGTCCATGTCATTAATTGCATTAGAGAGAACGCTACTCCACTCAACTTGAGAAAGGTCATAATTAAAACGATCCGCTGTAAATTGAGAGTAATCGCGAACTTTGGTGTTTTGGAAATTTGTAGGCTTTTCCCTGACTGATTTCATGATGCAAAACTGAGCAAAATGATCACTTAGGTCAGTAATCAGATTTCCACTGAATTGCACTTGTTCAGGATTGTTTACAAAAATATTATCGATAAGGGTGGCCGAATTGTTCCGAACACGGGTTGGTTTATCAATGGTAGGTGTGAGATAACAGTTTTGGAGAGCTACCAAGAAATCGTGACTATAAGGAGTGGTCTCAAATTTTAATAGGTCAATGTTAAAATCTCCTACGATATAGAGTTGTTTTCCAGTTGAAATTAATTTTTCAATAGTGTCTTCAAAGTAGCTTTGAAAGTGGTCAGGAGAGTTGTGTTGTCTGTACATGACACCACAAATTACATTTTTCTTTTTAACGAAAGAAATTTCAATCCACAGAGCTGGGAAAGCCTCATTAGATGTTCTATCTAAAACTTTGTAATTAAACGTTTCATCAACGAACATTCCGACACCTCCAAAAGCCAGGGGTATCAAAGCATGTTCAAACCGATAACCCCGTATTGTTGGACAGCAATCGACAGGATTTGAGTTGGTAATTTTAGTTTCTGTGATTCCAATAATATTGAAGCGAAAATTTAGTTCATCCAAGATTTGAGTTTGGAAATTTTCTAAATTTCGATTTATACTTAAGACGTTATTATAAAATATAGAGAAACTACAACCAATTTCATTTCTTGTTAATTGTTTTTCAATTCTTGAAAGGTATGAGGCGAGAAATATCGACTTTGTATACGATAGTTCAATAGATTATTTAAATTAAGATCTTCATCTTAAGTTAATGCGGGTCAAGAAAACAAGGTTAATAAGAGGTATGAAATTCTGAGGTGAGGAGAGGTTAATTGTAGGAGCTATAACTGTACATCACGAGATATATAGAAAAGAAATAGATTTACATAGTGTCCAGCCTCAATCTATAAACAATTGCTTACAGTTAACAACTCCAAGATTATTTCTGCATTTGGTTTATTCCGTGACAAGACACCACCAACATGGGAACGAGGTCAAATCGTGGGTTACAGCCTCGTCTCTGCGATGGGGGAAGTTCATTTCAAGCGGGATTTTGGAGGAGATTCGACCATATTCAAGTTCCCGTCACTTGTCAATGCGATTTACTTGGATAAAATACCAAAGTGGAGCAAGCTTACTGTTGGGCAAACTGTGCTGGTCGAGCTACTACCGGGAAATTTTCATACTGGTAAAATTGTGGCACGATTTAATTCCACTGTCGCAGACACAAATAAGAGAAAAGTTACAGTTCAGATTTCAAAGCGCAAGAAGACTTTCGACTATCAAAATGTACGGATAAAAGGTAGGCTTGTGTATCTGAGGATTAACTCCAAAGAACGAAATTCATCGTTAACACTGAAGTTGCACTCTATAAGTTCTTACTAGTGATATCATCCACCTAGGAATGGATGCTTGCCAATATTCTGAAGTTGACTGTGACGACCAACTTGAAAACTGTTTCCAGATATACGTTACCAAATGGCTTCCGGCGCCGACTCAGTACCGTTGCTCCTGTAAGGAGGGTTTCAAAAGACACCCAGCTAAAAAGTGCCTTCGTAAGTAAATCTGATATGACGTATAAGTCAGCCACTGACGAAGCCATTTTTTCCCTATCGAAAGTACCCCTACACATCTTAACGTGAGCGGATGGGGAGCCCGGTTTGCGCTATGCATGGAAAAATCTGCCATCTTTAAAAACCTGGGAATTTTTTTTATCGTCTTCTCTTCTTTTCCCAACCGATCACCCCTTCCTTCCTAGCCACGCTCCCATGTCACGCACGTTACAAAGACAACTGGGCCCGTGTCAAGAATTTCCCGTTTCTGTCATTTTTGGAAAGATTCTTCATAGAGTTAGCATATCATCATAACACTACGTACGGTAGTCCCTGAAGTAACCCATACAACACATTCATATCGCTTAAGGCATCCATCAAATCATTAAATAGTTTCAAAACATTCAGATATGACAAGAAAAAAAATCACTTTCCCTCCCCTCTACTACTTCTATGTTAGAAACTTTTCAAGAGGTCTTAAACAAACTCAGCTTTGACGAGCTCATACAGATGTACTTCGTAGTACAGATGTACTACGAGCTCTACGGCATTTTTGTGATAATTTACACAACTTGTGATAACGGTTGCGACATTTCGTAATAACTTACGCATTTTGCAATAGGTGTTGCAGCGTTCTAAAATGAAGGTGAATCTCGCATTTTGTAAGGAGAGCTGCAGTATACTGTGTTAATGGTCGGTCTTCGCAATGCAGGTGTAACGCAAATTGTGATAATCCCAAATTTGCCACAAAAACTTAAAGTACAATGAAAAGTAATGCAAACGATTGTCGTCGAATATCGTGCTTTATTCTTCCGAGATATCACCGATATATCGTTTCCTGGGACTTATCATTGGCTTAAACTGTTTAAGTAATGTAACCCTCTTATCTACATGGTGTAAAGCGCCAAAAGTGGTGCTTGACAAATCATTATTCTGAACAGGGAAATTGCAATTACCCAATCTGTAGAACAGTACTGGGTCGCAAGATTCGAGAAACGTATTAAAATTTGCTGTAGGATGTTATTACAAAAATTTCGTAGTCCAACGATTACTTCAAAATGCCTTTACCATAAAATGCGTAGTTCGCGTTTTTTTTTTTTTTTTTACATACACCCCACGTAATGAAATTGCCTCTCTTCCTTTGTTACAGCCCTAAGAGCAAAGGATCCCTTGCAAGAACCCTTTGAAGAAAAATCAAAGAAGTTGACGGAGGAAAAGAAATCGAACACTGGAGTTATGTTATGGAGCATCGCAGGCTGTATTGTGCTGATAAATACTTTGGCTGTTTGTTTATGGGGGTAAGTAGTTCTAAAAAATCAATTAAAACATATAAATAGATTTTTAAAATACGAACGCTACAAGAAATTCAGAAATCTCAATCACTCATGCACGAGTATTCATCATTAACAACGCTCGATTCTGATCCGTTAACAATTTCCCCTTCCACTCGCTAACATTTCAATACTTATAAAAAATTATTTTAACCAAAACATAGACTCATCTTCAATTTTCATGTCGCTGTCTACACAACAAAAATAATGGCGGTTATGGCATTAAGACGCTACCACTGACTAAGACAGAAATTTCCTTACAATATCAATACAATATAATATCTAGTAGACAAGTAATGAGAATAAAAAGTGTCAGCAAAGGGGTTATTAGTTGATCCAATACTAAGTCTCTGAAACACCATCACACGAATTGTATAGCAGTTAGCGAGGAATATTATCTATGAGACCTTTCTTATATATTAGGCTCCGCTATTCGCGTTGCGAGCTCCCCACCAATTATAATTGACACTTTACGAGCAAAATACAACAGTAAAAACGACTGAACATTTTTCTTTGATTGGATTGTCAACTTGACACCTTTAACGATGTGCATTCGATATTTGTAGGAACGCTCCCAAGGAAATTAGCAACGAGGAAAGGCTTCGGCAAGCGATCATCAAAGAGATGGAAGAAACATTGGGAGTCAAAAAAGAAGAGGAACAGGAACAAACAATGTTATCAAAAATAGCGAGTTGCTTGCGTCGTTTGATACAAGGACCTTCAAAGACAACTGAAGATGACTTCAAAATCGCCTTAAAGCCAATTAAAATTGATACCAATATGGAAATAGGGCAACAATGGCATATCGAAATGGAACATCGAAATAACAATAAGACAAACATGATGTCAACGGCAGATGAAGCACGAACAGACTTGAATGAAAATGACATCAACATCGAGTCAATCCCGTTTGAAAATGATATGGATATGAACTTAGGGATCGAAAGTGACAAGACAACGGAATTAGAGACGACTGAATATGCCACAACTGAAAATGTCATCGAGGCGGCCTTAGAGGCGGCTAAAAATGACAACCACATCGACTCACAGACGATTGGAATTGATATCAGGGATGATTCCACAGAAACTGTTGAGGGCGTCGAGACGGGCTTGTTGAAATCTGAAAATGAGATCATGAGTGATTCAACGACAACTGAAAATGCCATCGAGACGGCTGAAAATGACAGCAAGATAAACTCTCAGAAAGATGTTAATGAAATCAAGGATGATTCGACAGCAACTAAAAACGACGTCAATACGGGCTTAGAGACTTCCGAAAATGAAACCAGGAATGGTTCGATGACCACTGAACATGAGGGCAAGTTAGCCTTGGCGACGCTTGAAAATGACATGAAGGTGGACTCAAAGACGATTGAAAATTATATAAATGATTCGAGGGCAACTGAAAATGACGTCGAGACGGGACTGGAGACGAGTGAAAAAGAAGACAAGATGGATTCAAAGACAACTGAAAATGTGATCAATGATTTGACAACTGAAAATCGCATTATAACGGACTTAAAAAGGAATAAAAATGATAACAAGATGGACTCACAGATGATTGAAAATTAGGTCGCAGATGATTCGACAAGTGATAAGAGCGCCGATGCAGGCTTAAAATGACATTCGCTAAAAAGGACACGATTCAAAATGAGATCATTCTTGATTCGACGATTACCGAAAATGTCGACACGACTAGAGACGTCCAAAAATGAGACCAAGATGAATTCAAAGAAAAAATAAGAGGGGACAAAAGACGATTCGACAACAACTGAAAATGACGCCAGGTTAGTCTTGGATATGACTGAAAGTGAAACAAAGATGGAAACCAATAAGACAGAAAATGAGATCAATGATTTGACGAAGACTGAAAATCTCGTCGAAATGGAATCGAGTACCATGGAAAATGACGGCAAAATGGACTAAAAAACGATTGAAACTCAGATTGAAAATGATCTGACCACTACTGAACATTGCGTCGAGGCGGACCTAGAAACGACAGAAAGTAACACAATGATGGACATGTACACTGCAGTGAAGAAAAGAGACGATAGTAACGAGGAAAGAACTTTAAACCGAAAGTATCTAATTTTCACAAAAATAAGACTGTCACTTTCACAATTTTTAAATCTTGACCAAAGTCGGTGTGTGACGTAGTTGTTCTTCACATTCATACGCTTGAAGTGCTTAAAGTGTAAAAAAAAAATTCTCTCATTGTTTCTTCCTACATTCAGATTAAATTGCCTTTTTGTGCTCCCGAGCTCCGTGATTAGTATCAAAATTTTTAATTCTTTCACTTCTTTGTGGTCGTCTTGAAAATTGGTCGGCCAAGCTCCCGTTAAAATAAAAAAAAACAGCAACAGAAATAAACGCCATTCTTTCAAATAGATCAATTACATTTCGGGGGGGAGTACAAAAGTATTCAGGCTGTTTAACATTATTCTTTGCTATTTCGGGGTTGAAGCACAAATTCTTCAAGTTCATCCTCACTTTCCAAATCTTGTTCCTTGATCAACAATTCTGGTGCTTTTCCAGCATTAGTGTACACCTTATGTTCCACTCCTATTGACCTCACGTATAGACTAGTTTCATCTAGAGTCGATCTTGTACAGCTATCCTCTTTAGAAGGCGTCTGGTTTGCACGTTGAGCTTGCGAATTACCACAAGTGTTGTCAGGTAGATTTGCAGATTCTCGATTAGAAGAAGTGCTAACAAAGTCTGACGCATCTAACCTCCCTTCCTTCATTCCATTACATTGTGTGTAAACGCCATTTTCAAAAGAGTCTGAACACTGATGTAAAGTTGAATTAGTTGCTTTCACTGATATATTGCTGAGCGTAAGCTCTGGTGGCGTGACTTCATTTGCATTTTCCGGTGATTTGTCAATTGTTGACAATGTTCTATTGAGTAGCTTTGCGGCGGCATGGAATTCTTCCTGTCACGAAATACACGAGCAATGTCGCGTTACGTAAATACAGAAATACACAAATCATGTGCCGACAGGAACATATTCATTAACAGAATAAGTTCATAACAGACCAAAACTTCTACGGAAGTCAAAAGTGTCACGAAATGCATAAAAACGGAGCTAACGTGTTTTCTTTTCAAATAAAACGTGACAAAACTCGTAAACAGACTCACGTTAACGATGATTTCATGCACCTATTTTCAGAAATCGTTTGAATTTTATGGGAGCTAGCCAGAGGCCCGTTTCTCGAAGGTCCCGGTAATTTAATAGGCCTGTTAAGTTGTTCTCTTTTCATTTAAGATGGGAGTTTCAAAAGTTTTAATAATTATGCGATAAAACTATCAGCTGAAGAAACATAATGGTCTGCTTAGAGTGCCAGAACCTCCCCCTCTGTTCACTAACTTTTGCTCTTAAAATGTGGCTTCGGGCCCGTTAAATTAGCGGGAACTTCGAAAAACGGGCCCCAGGCCTCAGAGAGTATCCAGGCGACAAAGAAGATTCCCATGCATTTCCCAACATGTAAAAGGCTGAGAAGAAAACTAGTCACCTTTAAAAACTGTTGATCAAGGGACGGTAGATCACAGCCAACATAGGCATCATTCATGACACAGTATTGGAGAAGACAGCACCAGAAAGGATCCTATCGAACACAATAATTCCTCATGTTACATGGCAGAAATACCTGAAGAAAACAAGCGTCTTGGGGCACATTCATGGCAATTTTCAATCGAGTATCGAAAGCCATTTGGAATTGCATTGGTTTTCGTTTGCTTCGCTGTGTGATTAATCTAGAATTGTAAAAAATCCAATAACGAAAAAAAAGAGGCTAGAGTCCAAACTCCGTAGAAAATATGTATTAACTCGTTAAAATAATCAAAACATTTGGCTCAAATAAACACTCCCAAAACTTCTTAAAATTCCACATTGAGGGATAACATTGAGAGAAAGTTAAAAACGAAAGAGATTTTCTACAAGAATACTCACACCATCCTCTCGACTAATCAGATGCAAACGGAAACCCTTCCCAAACGCTACTCCTGAGTTAAAACTCACGAAAAAAGGTCGACGTCAGCCACCTTGCGAAGTATAAATCCAAACATCAAGAATGCCTGAAATTTAACCGGAAGATTATTCTATTCGTACAGACAGTTCAAACCTGACAAAGTACATGTGGATTCCCAACAACAACGAGCAGAGCCTGGGCACGGGTGATAGCCACGTTAAACCTCTTAGGATTACTCAGAAAGCCAACGCTGTGACGTACATCGACACCGACCAATGACTCATCAGAACGAACCTGCAACCAATCACAGTCGATCAGAATCACGTAAGATCGTTCTCTGCTGTTAACATCTCGTTAATTTTTAAACATTTACGTTTTATTTGCTCCTCTCCAAGAGCACCGCATAAAAAGAAAAGCAAAACTCGTTAGTCCCTTTTGGGAGTGAAAGGGATTTATGACTTAGCGACAATGATAAGTAATTGGCCTGACTTTCTTTGGCCATGTCAATAATCTGCCTTCACTGATGTAAGACGCATCACCATTCTGAGAATGCCTTGGCATTCAGCGTTGCTATTAATTCGCAATCGCTAGGAAACGAGAAAAATAACAATTTTAAAACGTCTAAGTTGAACAGATGTTAATTGCAACTTAAGCCATTTTTGCTAAAAATGACTTTTAAAAGAGTACATTTTGCGTCGTACCGTTGAAATGATAATGGCAAGCCTTTCCTGTCCCTGAAATTCCTCCACAGATCCAACTTTTACTTCCCCTAATCCCAAGCGATCGAGCAAGAGACGAAGTTTTTCAACCTTAAAATACGATAACAAACAGTCAAATAAAATATTGACCAGTGGAGCGACCTTCAAAAGTAAATGCTAAACTGATATCTTACAAGGAACCCTCGTTGACACATGTAGCATAGAATGTGTTTGAGAAGCTGACACCATCTTCACTCAAGATGCTTTGTGCATCGCTAATCCTTACAGTATCCGGAATGCTTGTTACATACAGATTTGAAGCTCACTCTTCTTGCCTTGTCATACTTCTGCGGCAAATTAGTTACATTTTCTAAAGAAGTTTAGGGGAGTGTCTGGAGTAAGAAGACAAGCTCAATGAAGCAGCTGCGATGAGAATTTGATCAATGTCTGCGAACCAGACACGCAGGTGAGCGGGAGAAAGAGCACACGCGACGTACTGTACCAGAGCGAGCCGAGGCAACACACGCATTTAGAAGCGTCTCTCCCATCGCAAGTGTGTTGACGCTCGCTGTTCTTCATAAGGAGGGCACCTGCTAAAAGGCTAATTTTAACCAGACATGTTTCAAGATTTCTGTATTCAATGTTTCTCTGTAATTTCCCCAAAGGTGATCTCACTCACTCGGGAATAGGTTATGGACTTCACTACACAAACCTGTTTTCTGTAGGGTGTGATTACACCAATATCTGTGAGTTTAAGAGGGAACTTTTCGTCGGACCTTAGAGACTGTAAATATTTCATAACTTGGACTGCTTCCACAGGGTTGAACCATGATGGACTGTTGCCCTCACGAAGATCTTCTCCCTTAAAAAAATATCGAAGCAAAACAGGTGATAAACATCTAATGACATATGTTTGGCAAGCTACAACCAGTTGCAAAAATGTTGAGACACTTTGAGCAAAAATTGCTTTTTTCTACTTCATCAGATGCCCAAGAAGTAATTTAGTGCAAAAAACAAATGCGTCCCCCTTCCCCGATTCAAATATTGTTCATCGACGATTGACACGTGATACTGCTGATGGTGGTAACATGTCTCAGCTCATTTTGCAACTCGTTGTAGCTCCGACTCAAGACAAGATGCTTTCGGCCTCCCTAATCCTAGCAACATGCAATCGCATCAACTTTTATGGTTGCGAAAAAAAGCAGATAACCTGTGTATGGCTTAACTGGTTCGTAATTTCTTTCTGGTATCTGTTCGGGCATTTCGAAACAGCACCAATGGTTCAAATTCTATTTCCAAAGATGTATAACGCACAAGCATACTATGAATAACTGAAAGAGATGATAAATTAACTTTCACCAGGGTTCGTAAGTTCGTGTGCAAAACTTCTTCAAAGTTTATTTTTGGCCATCATTTTTTCAGTTTTCAGCCCCGCAGATATGAGTGATACCGTGATTCCAACACAGTAGAGGTTTTCAAAAGCTTGCCCAAACATCGAAAATTCTCTCATCGCGAAAAAATCACGTCTTGGTCATGGTATCTAGCTTTATAGATATGGATGCCTATCTATCTCTAGTTATCTAAATTTTTCAAGAATTAATTTCCTTTCCTATACAATGTTACAGGTGTCTAAGATTGAATCACAATTTTTTTCCTGTTTCAAGAACTCAAAACTAATTGAACACTCTGTTTACCTTGAGCCCATGAAAAAGCACCGGAAATCCTTTGCGCGGTAGTTTTTCCCAGTCACTCAAACTTTCTCTCATGTTCACATCAGCGCATGGTTGCAGCTCATCATGATAAAACACAGCCGAGGGAAGTTTAAGCACGGCAGGATGGGAGCGGTAATTATTCACAAGTTTTGTTACCAGAAGGGGATCATAACATCCGTGATCCACAAACTTTCCTTCGTCTCGACAGTACAATGGTCTGTTCATCAAACGCTCCAGCAGAGAGATATCAAGTCCGTACGCAGCTGCTACGCGAGATTGAAGAACTGGGCCAAGTTGGAAAGGATCACCAGCCATGATGACCTGAAATTAAAAGAATTCGAGGTATTTCCTGAAATCCGTATGAAGAGACTTATGACGGTTGAAGCCGCCATGCATTGCTATCTGCAATGCATTTTGTTCGTCTATATCTACCGCCACCTCGTTTGCTTTTCGGTGTACTACTGCCTCTATTTCGCTTTGCAATATCAACAAGCTCATATTTTGAACCCTCCTTTGCGTGGCTGCTTGCACACAACATGTTTTAAGCCTCCAGCAATGAGTAAAACGGCTGCGGACGAGGTGTTTAATGAGCAGGGAGCGCTTTGAGAGACTCATTCTTCAACTAGGGACTGTACAATCCTCCTCTTTACGCGCTACAAGATTCTGAAGATTTCAAGACTTTTCACCATTCTCAGTCCCAATTCACGCATTCCTTATTAATCCCCTGATAAGTTGCCTCTTTCCTTCCCCATTGACACCTTCCATTAAAGTTAAAATCATTTTCAATTTGAAGTGATTTCAGAACAAACCTGACCATCCTCTCCAGCAGCCAGACCAAGAGCAACTAGACACTCTGGTTCAGTAGCTTGCCCTGCCTGGAGAAACAACAATGATTTAACAATTAATAATCATCTTTCGATTGAACAGTGTGTAAACCAATCTTGTCCATTACGTATCCGAGTCTCTTTCAGTATAGAAGTAATGGTTGTGTCGAAATCTCAAATTTCTACCCGTGAATTTAGAAAACAGTATGAAAGAAAGCTGTCACTGACTTAACGACATCTTTAATTTCGCAAAGGCATTAACATAACGACGTCTGAAACTTAACGACCTCATAAACTAAGAACCAAGGAAGACAGCATACTATCAGTGAGGTAGACACCGAAAGTTTGCTCACTGTAATTACTAGCTGTTTATTCACACTGATTCTAAGTAGGGGAATAAAAGCTCCACTTCACTAAAAATAGAAACATTTACATGTAGACGGCATGCATATCGGTCTCACAAACCTCATCAACAAAAACATGAGTTATGTGTCCAGCCCGCAATCCTAGGGAATAAAGCTGACCAGCTGTACTACATGTGCTGACTATAATGCGATAGCGTGACGCCATTTCCAACTGATCCGTGTCAATACAGTATGGACTGATGCTTTCTGGGATATTTTGCACTCTCTGGGCGGCATTGAGGCGTATCATGTCTCCTGCGTGGATGTAACCGCTCATATGAAGACGTTCGGCCTCACAACGTAAATAAGATAGACAAAACATTAACGCATGTTAACTATCGTAAATGACTACAGAGGAATTTCTCCTGACATTGGCAACACATTTTCAATCAGCGAGGTGACGAGAAGTAAGAAAAAACAACAATCAAGAAAAATTTAGGAGAGTGCAAAGAGTTTTTGTTTTAATCTAGATGCAAAAAATGTAACGCGCTACTTCTCGACAATGAGGGTATTTTTAAGCCAAAAAATTGCTCCTCTTTTGCGAAATATTTGAAAAAAAAAACTGATGTAATAGTGGTGCAATCCTCTTAAAAAGCCTGCCCTTTAACCTTACGAACACAAAATCATAACGTCTGTAAGTTTCTAAACAAACTGTGGTACTACGTCAGTGAGAAAGTATAACAAGAAAATTTCGTTTTCATCAACGGAATTTATAATGCAATTTAGCTACCGGAGTTTCTAAAGCTCGCGTTTCGAGCTTTAGCCCTTCGTCAGAGCAGAGAGCTAACGCTCGAAACTACAGCTTTATAAAATCTTTTGTCACTCGGCCATTTTAAGCTATTACTTCTCTATAATTTTGTAAGGTGATAAAGCGCACCCGTGGAAAGCAGATTGAGTTAGAGTTTTAAGGTTTTAGATAAGCAGTTATGTTGCTGTGTCAAAAATCCCATATTTTTGCACCTTCGTAACGTCAAGTATTGCTAATGAATTTTATAACTGAGTCAATGAATAAAGATTTAAGATCAAAGAAAAATACAAATTAAAGAAGAACTGTGAAAACTGGAAATCTTGTTTCAAATTTGCTACTTACAATCAAATCAGATGCACTATTTGACGGAGCACATGCTAGGACTCGGCTTGAGGGAATTCTGTGAAAAATCTGAACACAAGACAAAAGGCACAAACGTCAACTACACCTGAACACTGTACGGCACTGATATACAATGTTATCAACATCTGAAATTCTTCTCAGGACTCAAGACGAATCAATTTTCTTGGTAAATCTCAAAACAGAATGGTAAACCATCAGGGTAGCCGTGCTTGAATAAATAGTGTTCGAAAAGTTTCGAATTTCCTTTTCCCTACTTTTGTTTCTTCTTAAATTTTTCTATTAACGTTTCAATTTTCTCTCTTTTATTTTACGAGACAGCAGTTGTTTCTCTAAATTTTCATTTGAAAAAATTGGCGGGAAATTAGCGCGCGGGCGGTCAAAATTGATCCTCTCGCGCATGCCCGACGTTTAACCGCTGTGTTGGCTCCAAGTGATCCTGCATGTTAACAATAACCGCTGACCGCTATAAACTTTACCTAACCATCACGTCGTTACGATAGTTGGAATTTTTAGCTATCCTCTTGAATGAAGTGCCACAATTTTAATAGCCCTCTAAGTCTATCTTCCTTTCCTTTTTTCCTTCAATATCCTCTTTTGAGACGCTGAGACTATAAGGACGATTATATCATAAAAATGAGGCCAAAAACCATTTCCCCTTAAGTTATAATTAAACCGTATTCATACCTGAAGAATGGCCTCCACAACAGTAATGGTTTTCCCAGTGCCAGGAGGTCCGAATAGCAGATAGGGCGTAGGACGACACTGGCCACTCACAATACGACATACCGCTGCCCTCTGACGCTCATTAAGGGAAGGATTGTACAGGAAATCGGCCGGTTTGAGTTTGTTCGTAGACCCACTTTGCGTTCTTGTTGGTGAATCTACTGAAAATCAGTGTTAGAGGTAAATAGGTTTAAAAGGTGAAGACAAATACGAAATAGCAGGCGGCCAGGTTATCGTTGGGACAAATTTTGTTCGTAAGAATTTCACGCACGATAGAAACATTTTCCTTTAAAATGTCCCAGGGTATCGATTCAAAATTCAAACCTGTTACTGGTAAATCATGCATTCAATTAAAATTAAAAACAGAAAAGTGGCTGCTGAGGAAATTCAATCAATGGTATTTCAGTAATGGAAGGATGTTTGAGCAGCACTGTTGTAAATTAACGTTAAAGTAGTGGCGAGTTCGGTCGGCTTACGCTTCTTAATAACCACTCTTAAAGAGAGTCTACTATAGCTGCAGTATTGAAAAAAAAATTAACACATTTGATCCACACATGAACCCGGAAAAACTAAAGGTAACTTTTGATAAGCAATTGACAGACTTAACGGATCAGATCAGTTCTCGTAGGGCTTATGAATACCTTTCTCAATGTCAGTGTTTTGTCCCGTTGGCGAAGAGCTGGGCAATGTTAGAGTCAAAACTGGCAACTTTGATGACAAACTTCTTGGAAATAATACTGCGCCAGAGAAGAACAAGATAGAAATGATACTCGGAAATGATAAAAAAAAAAAAAGAAATTTAACCATCATATTTACGGCAGTCTAAGGTATTGGTGCGCGACGTCAAATGGTTTGCACGCGGGATACCACGTATGAGGAGTACAGAGCAGCTTGCCCCTAATCCACATTTAAATGCCATGACGAAAAGTAAGTTTATACTAAGTTAATCCAGACTTGATTAAGATTTTCAAAAACCTGGCTCTGAAGCTTCATCAAGTCAATTCTGTTGTGTTCTCGAACAAGACGCTTCTTTCACGGTTACTTTTTCCACACAAGAGTTTAACTGGGTCTGGGTAGAGACTGTCAGAGGAACCTGACAAATCCAAGGGAAAGTGGAAGTGTTTTATCCCATACGGAGAAGTAGCTATTACCCGAGGCACCCTACTATAGAAATCCAAGACCAGCTCCGGTGGAGTTTTCTTATTTCAGGTGGAATACCAGAAGATAATTTCTCAGTTACAAAAGGCCTTGAAATACATAGACAAGCAAAGTCGTTTTAATCATTAACAATACCTTGTTCGCCCAAGGATACGGCAAACTCCACTGCACGGTGACCTCTTCTAAGAGTGGTCCTGGGTAAAATGCAAAATACCATACATGTTACGTTTTCAGGGGAGTATTAATTACCCTGTTATAATAATTCCCGAACTCCAAAAGGATATCAAAAAGAACGGGATCCTCGTTATTCTTTTATCCCTATGAGCGATCGGCACGTAATTTCTCCTCACCGCACCACTGCGGAATCAAACGACAAAGTCATAAGAATGGAGTCAATGATCAACAACAAAAGAAACTCTTGATTGTTCTACAAATTCTCCTTGTCAGCACTGGGGAATATATGGAAAACAGTGTGGAGAATTGCAAACTGATATTAGGGTGTACGGTGTTATCATATTTTTTTTCACATAATAAACATGCCTTATCGAAAGAGATCCCGCAAAAAAATAATAGACCACTTTCATAAATGGCTGCCGTATAAATATTCGTTTGTTTAAATTTCAATTAGCCCTTCTGGCCTCGCTTAAGATAATGTATTCTTTTGGATTTTGTACTGGAGAACGAGGCCAGTAGGGCTAATTTAAATTTAAACAAAAGAATACTAATCCGGCACTAATTTATAAAAGTGGTCTATGACTTCAAAAAAAGCAAACAAACACACAAAAAGTCGCTGACCTGTTGAAGTAAAACATTACATCACACTTCTGCATGGCAAATCTGTTGTGGAATTCCTCGTTAAACTTGAGCAGAACATCATCCTTATGTACCTGCATACATGTACATATTGTGTGGGTACATAATGTAGCTTGTTCAATAACGTTATAAACATAAACAGAAGAACATGATTTTAAGTGTAAAGGAATACACGTTTGCACATGACATTGTCCTTTCCTCTGACTCACTTAGCATTAAGGTATGGGATAAGTGATCTCTGTCAAAGAACATGAAGAGGGACCTTGAGTGCTTATTTCATCAGAGAAAGGGCAAAAGTGAGGGCCAAATCTTTTCATTGACACTGGGCAAACTGACAACTTTGCATAATTACATTAGCTTCTATGATGCCTAATACATCATATCACGCAATGAATGAGTGTAAATAGTTACTACATCAAACTATAAGAAAATTACCTCGTGAATATATCCTTCATATTTAGGAGATTCTGACGAAACACCTGGCATGAAGAGGAACAGTAAATATTGGCTTTAGCCAAATAAGAGAAAAAAATTATTTGATTAGGAGAGTGATTTGCATTTAATTTATTGTTAAAGCCTTACTCAGTTCTTGTTGCAGAAAGTGAAAATGAACATTCTTACCCC